CTCCTCCTCGCACTCTTGCCAAAACCCCCTCTGTAGCTGTCGTTGTCGTCTGCCACGACGCAAGGCCCGGTGATCACGAGGTTCTGGCGGTGGTTCTGGTTGTTCTCCTTCTGCTTGTTCCGGCTCGGAATCTACTGGCACTGCTGACGCCTGTGGGTCAAATGCAAGGTGCTGAAGGTGACTCGGCAGAGGTAGCTGTCGTTCATCTTGACCCGGCTCGGACGGGGCATACTCATCCATATCTACATCTGCCGGGTGGCCCGGTGAATCACGAGGTTCTGGCGGTGGTTCTGGAAGCTGTTCTCCTTGTGCTTGTTCCGGCTCGGGCCGCCGAAGGTAGAACTCGGTAGTGCCCGTCCAGGTGAAGTCCATTCGCTGCTCCACCCGCCCGTGGTGCCAGGAATCCTCGTGCTCCCGGCGCGTGCCGTCTTGCAGCCTCATTGTTGTACGGCGGCGAGGTTGTAGTTGATCAAGTGCCGTTGGGGGTGCCGTCGTCGACAAAGGTAAGAAAAGCCGCTGCCTCGGGATCCGGTGTATTCGCACCAAGCGGTCCTCGCCAACGAACTCCCATTCATCCTCCCACGGCTCCTCTGCGGGGGTATCATCGCTGTACTCTGCCTCCATCTCGGCGTCGCCATCTTCATCCACGTCCCCGGCTGCCAAGGAGTGCTTGCCCTCGTAGTAGGCCATATGGGTGGCATAGTCGAGGCACATAGTTCCCTTGATGCCTTGGCAAATCGCGCGGCAAAGGCCCGGTGGAAAACCAGCTGACTCCTCATCTGGCTCGTGCCGTCCGGCCGGGCAGGCACAACGCCGGCCAAGGTTGTTCAAGAGCAGCTCCCCATTGGACAGCCAGCCCGTCCTTCTCTGAACGGGGCCTCGGCTTCTTTGCCCTCGGCAGCCGTAGGCGCAGAGGTCTCCTAGAACGAACTTCCCCCCGGCGTTCTTGAGCGTCTTTGCCAGGATGGCGTCGAAGATCCAGGCATACTTGGCCGAGGGCGCCTCCAGGGGGTAGTACCTACCAAAGCGGTGCTGCTCGCAACAGAGGCGCACCAGTTGAGCCGCAAGTCGCCGGCCGACTTTTTGAGAAGCTCGGTTGTCACGGCCGCGGTCCCCAAGGATGCCCCAGATGCGGCTGTCGGCGGTGACAATCAAAAGGTAAGGCCGGTGCTCTCTCATAGTTCGCCCGGCCGTGCTCTTTAAGAACGGGCCAGGCGGTCACAACCATCTTGGGGCACGGGCCGGCTGCAGGTCCAACTGAACTCGCGGGTGGCCAAGGCAGTCACGGAACAAAGGTCGCCGTAGGGCTCGTAGAGAACCGTGTTCTGAAAATCCTGAGTGCACCACTGCTCTGCCAAAGTGAAGCTGTGGCGCAATGCTGCCCCAGCTCCTCTTGTCCTCCGCCGCCTGCTTCCGGCATTTGGCTTGAAGTTCTCGGGCACGCCTCTCCGATAACTGTGCTAGCCGGTCTCCTTTTCTCACGCCTCGCTTCCCCAGGTCGGGCGGCTCGCCTCTCATTGGGGCCAGGCTGCCCGATGCGAAGCTCAACTCGTGAAGTAAAGGCAGCTCCCCTTCCCCCAGCCAGGTAGTAGACAATGAGGTCCTCGGCCGTGACCTGGGGCTCCTCTTTGTTGCCCTTGGGCTCTGCCAAAGGCGCTGTGTGGTCGTGCGCCACATCCAAAGCGATGTGCTTCGTCGCCGTAGACACCAGAGTCATCTCGATCCCCAGGGCCCCCACGGTCACTTTCCCCGCGGGCAGGTCGATGATCATCCCCAGGGCGGTCATGGTCGGCAACGATAAAAGGAGCGGGGTGCTACCACTAGGTAGCTCGGCCGAGAAAATCTCGCCGTGGATATTGTTGAGGTACACCGGCACCTTCCACACGGTGAGCTGGCTCTCCGACTGGCCGTTGGCGAAGTGGAAGTTCTTGTTCTGGCCAGTTCGGGTGCAGGAGACTCCTTCCGGGAGCCACCGTTCAAAGGCCTGCCGCCAGCGTCTGGAGTGAAGGCACGAGGTGCAGGCGGTGTCCAAAAGACAAAGCTTGGACTCATCCAAAGTGGAGTCGTGTCCTTCTTGAGGTCGTGGTGCTCCTGTCGCAAGGGCTCTTGCAAAAGTGAGGGTCTGCGGTGTCGACCCAACAAATTCACTCTCAAAACCATTGGGCTCGGGCCCTGAATTCTCCAGGCCATGCATCTCCACCTCCTGGCTGCCGTAGGCAAAGGCAGGGAGGTAGGGTGAAATCGTCCCTTGCCGTGGTGCACTTCATCGGCGCTCGCCTCGGCGAGCCTTCTCGTAGAGCTGCAGTCCCTCGGGCAGGTCGAGGGTGAACTTGCAGCGCCTCGCTGTGGTAAAGTTCCGGCAGCCGAAGAAGTAGCCCGTCTTGTCCAGCCTTTGGCGAAGAACCAAAGGGCACTTGCAAACCACGCAGCCAATTTGGGGAACGACTTCTCCAACAGCCAGGTCCGGAGGAATTGCCAGGCCCGACCTCGGGCAGATGATCGTCTCCTTCTCCGGGTTGCTCCTGGCATTGTTGGTCTCCGTTGCGGTCGCTGCGCTCGTGGAAGCGTAGGGCCGAAATATGCGGCATCGGTCTCGAGGTTCTCCGGTCTCGGGGTCGGTCTTGTAACCCTTGGTCTCGGTCTTCTCCGGGCTGGTCTTGTAACCCTTGGTCTTGGCCTTCTCCGGGCTTGCCTTGCAATCCTCGGGCACAAGGGGGCCCACGTACTCACGCAGCTGCACCCAACGCTTGGTGCAACCAGCTCCCCGCGGTAAAGCTGACGCAGTCAAGCCCTCACTTCGGCCCGGCTTCCGGAGGTCTGCACACCCCATCGGTCACAATCTCCCTGAAGGTCGCGGAGGATCATGCCGTCGAGCCCCAGCGGCATCACCTTGGCAAAGCTAAGCACGTCGTGCACCTCAATGTCCTTGGCCTTGACCGGCACCAAGACGTGCTGCTCCGGCTCCTTGGGCGTGTCGTCGTGCTGGCTCTCCTCGGCAATCTCGGTCCTCAGGCCGCCCGGGCCGCCTTCAAAAGGAAATGGTGGGGCCTCGGTGACCAACTCCCAGTCGGCACTGCTCGCTGCAGCGGCGGTCTCCAGCCGGGGCCGGGTCTGAACGAACTTCCTCTTCTCATCCAGCTCGGTGTCCCCCGCGTCCTGGTCCATGTCGCTGTCCTCGTCCGGGCCGGCCAGGATCATGTCGCAGTAGCCGTCGCCCTCGCCGTCGTTGAGGCTGAAGTAGAGAGGCGCCTCGCTAACCAAAAACGCCTTCCCTTTGGAGGATTGTCGCCCTCCTTTCTTGGGGCTGCCTCCTTTCCGACGCGGGCTGCTGCCGCCTTTGCCGCCGCCCTTGCTGCAGGCTTGGTCGCCCAATGCCCGATGCGCCCACATGCTGAGCATCTCGTGCGGGCCTTCTCCTTGGCGATCGCCTGCTTGCGCTCGTCGCTGGCTCCCTCGCCCTTGGGTCGAAAGAACCCCCGGGCTTTCTGGACTTCTTTCAGCTTCTTCCTGCTCTCCTGGTAGGTGGCAAAGGCCTCGTAGATCTCGTCGTCCTCGCTTGCTCCAAGGTCGGAGGCCTCTTGGTAGTCATCGTCCTGTGCCTCGTCGCCCGCCGCAAAGGCCTCGTCCTCATAGTCCGGGCCCTCGTCCTCCTCGTTGTGGTCCTCGGGCGGCTCCTCTTCTCCATCAAGAACCGCGTGGGCATAATGAGGCTTCCGTGGCCCCTTTCCACCATCATAGCTGTTAGGAGCTCGCCGTGGTCCAGGCCAATCTCTCGCCGGGGCTCTCTCGCGCTCGTGGTAGTCACAGTAAGACACTCGAAGCGCCTTCTCAATGGCCTCGACCGAGTAGTTCGACTGGCACGCTAGGAGGATCTGTCTGCGGTCGTCATTGGGGAGGCTGACGTTCTTAAGCAAAAAGTAAGCCTGAAGCTCCGGGCTCATGTTGACATTCTCGGCGAGGTCCTGCAGGTCGGCCCAGTCCTGGCGGCGCTGTCGCAAGTAGGCATCTATGGGCTGACCCCGTTTCCTGTAGCACTTCTCGAAGTAGGTGTCGAAAGCCTCCGTGGCCTTAATAACCGATACCTTCTCGATCTGCTTCAGGGCTGCAAAGACCTTCTTGTAGCCGTCCGGCACCCGGAGTTCTTCCGGCTTCGCCACCAAATCCTGGCAAGCACGCCAGGCCTCACCATGAAGCCCATCCACCAGCTTCTTGGCAAAACGGCACTGCTTCTTGAGAAGCGACCGCTTCTCCTTTTCCTCGTCATCGCCGCTGCCCTCCAGACTGCTGAAAGCGAACAGCACACGCTTCCGGTACTCCCGCATCAAGCCTGGCTGCACTCCGGTATAGTGAGGGACGCCATCCTTATCCACCACTATTTCGTCGTCTCGCCAGAAGCCGCGCCCAGCGGACTCTGCAGACGCCATGGAGTGCCTTCCCACGCTCCGCTACCAGTGCGGAGTACGCACTGGCAGGTGGGAGGCTTCGAAGCGCACAGCAATTGATTTTATACCGCAACATGCAAACAGTGCTTGGTTCGTGAAACTAAGTCTGACTCGCACACATGCTCTGCGAAAGTGTTCTAAGCAGGCCTGTGCCTTGTCCTGCGGGCATGCCACTATTTAAGGGCTCACTCTCACATCCGCTCTTTTTGCACCTGTATGGCGTGTCCACAGCTCTGCCGTCTTGGCAGATGGATGAAAACCGCAGCTGGGTGTGGGCGGGAGAGGCGGGAGTCTTGAGCGGACGCGTAGTTCAAGCTCGCCCTTATGTGCCAAGGGCTCACTCTCACATCCGCTCTTTTTGCACCTGTATGGCGTGTCCACAGCTCTGCCGTCTTGGCAGATGGATGAAAACCGCAGCTCCACCCATCTTTCTCCCACTTATGCGTCCGCGATCGACCCAGCTGCAATAAGCTTGTACCACACAGTTGGCAAAATGCCAACGGTACTGAAAAACCTTGCCTTCGCAACGACGTCCTTGAAGGCCCAAAGTGCTGCAAACACCTTTTCTTTCGAAGCCTCGGGAAGGTAGCCGAAGAGCTGCAAGGAGGAAACTTCCTGAACGTAAATTTCCATAATCCGGTGCGAAAGCCACCGGCCTCGGCGGCGAACAAGTTCGCTGTCTTCTCCTTGCATCATCAGCCACGTCGCTCCGCCCGCTCTCAGCGAGGAGAGCTCAAGGGGCGGGAGCCTTCCACCAGGTTCGCACGGCAAAGAAAGTGCGGCACAGAGCTGTCTGAAGCGAACTCGCAAGGTTTGGCCCGAAAAATTCCAGAGCCTCTCGGCTTTGCCCAGCTTGCCATAGGCAATGTCAATGATCTCCAGAATATCAGGCTGGTCCACGTGCACGGCTTGGTGGCGCGCTGCGTGGTACCTGGTTTTCGGGTCCCTGATGGTGAGGTAGGCATAGTCAACGGTGTGCTTGACGTCGGCAGGCAACGTCAGGTCGCCCCTGGTGGCCTGCAAGACCTCACCAATCCTCAAGAGACCGCCCCAGGCGAGGGCGAGAGCACCTGCAACTCTCGGCCATCCCCAAGTAAAAGCTGCTCCAACTAAGGCAAGCAAAGCCTGCCAGGGAAGCGCAGTGTGGTGTCGCCCCGGCTCTTCTCGCTTCCAGCTGAAAGCCAAGTCCCATGCCGGCTGAAGAAGCCTCCGGGCCTTTGGCACCTTCGCAGCGAAGGCGTTCAAAGTCTCACTGTAGTGGGCAAAGGGCCTCCCTGCCGAGTAGAGGTCCCGTCCGTAGCGCCCAAAAATACAGTTGATAGAATCAATGTCGACAACACCCTCGACAGAAGTAAAAAGAGCCCGGTCAACCCCAGCACTGTCCAGCCAAACCAGGAAAGCGTTCCAGAGGGCGTCTCTGTTTCTCTGCGTCGCCGGCTCGACGGTTCTTCCTCAGAATGTCGCCAGGGTTCCGCGGGCGCAGGATGCCATGGCTCTGGTCTACGGGAGCTACGGCACCAACCCTGAACACTATCACAGCACAAGAGGAGTCGGACAAGTCCACCAGTACGGGGGAGGAAAAGCGAGGCAGGGGGAGAGGGCACAGGAGGGCCTTCACCAGGGAACCCAAGCGTTCCATCGAACTGCAAAGGCGAGGGCACAAAGGTTCGATAGGAGCTCCCGCGGCGGCGGTAGAGGAGCCCGGCTGGAGGAGAGAAGCGGCAAAGTTTAAAGAAAAGGCGATGCCAGTTCGAAGCCCATCGGCGAAGGGTCGGTAGCCCAGCGACAGCGGTCAACTCACGCCCACCCTTAAGGTGACCAAGGACACTGGCAGTTGGCAGCTCGAGGTCGGCGCCTCGGGAAGGGGCGTCAGCTGGCATAAGCCTGGTCGGGCAGAAAGGCACTACAGGGTAAAGTCCATACGCAATGCAGGCGGCAGCGACACGGCGGAGGACCCTCGAAAGGCCCTTTGAGGGGCTCCTGCCTTTGAGTTAAACAGTGCAACTCTAAGCGGTCACGCTTTTCCTCGTTGAACCAAAAGGCGCTGCGTCGTAGCCATGCATTTCATGGGCTCCAACAAAGGTGTGGGGATACTATACACTTCTATACACATTCCCATCTACCAAACTTAACA